CACAGCAATTTTGTCTTTGAAAATGATGAACGCTACTATATTTGTCTTGAAAAAACCAACACACTGATGATGACATCCTGCTAATTTCGAAAGTACTCAGAATAAATAATATGTACCAACACGATAATTTTTTCTCTTCCTTTAATAATGATACCAAAAAGCTTGTTCATGAATATGAAAGGATCCAATTGAAAATAAGTAGACAAAACTTGTCTAAATTATTCAATGAAACATGTCTCAATATATATATGTATACATACATGCACACGTACTTACATTCTTTCACTAGGCTATAATTTCGTTTTTATATGTACTAATTGTAGGTGGTTATATTTATAATTATTTTTTCTTTATTATTGTTTGAATTTATGTGTATATGTCTGTATTTATATGCTTATTCTGAAGTTGGAATGTTAAAGGTAGCATCCGTCAGTTAAGTGACAAACTTTTTCTCATATTAATACTATATGTGTGTGTGTGTGAAAATATATAGAAAATAGGAAGGAACTGGTTAGGTAAATAGTCCAAAGTTCCTTAGTACTTTTGTTATTATTTTTTAAAAATAGTGCTCGATACAAAAGTAGAGCATAAATATAATTATTTTTAAAAAAATATGATTCCAAATCGCTACATAAGAGGTCTCATGTTTCAAAACAAGAGCCGAAAACTTCAATATAATCCTTTAAATTAAATTGAGTTGAAATTAAAAAGGGCTCCGTTCCATCTTCAAGCGAAATTTTTGTTGGAATAACGTATATCTGAAATTTACTTGTTTTAAAAATTGAAATCAAAATCACCATGGTAACAGCTAGGGCGAATTGTCTAAAATGGGTAGGCGAGTGTAGGGTGTTAATGATGAGTAGCGGTATAGAGATACTTTCAAGGTGTCAAGTCGGGGGAAGGTGAGGGTGTCAAAAATGAAACGAAGATGTATTAAGCTTTCGTCAAGTTGGCTTGTCTATGGAGATTTATTTATTTATTTTATTTTATTTTATTATGAAAGGGAATTGTGCATATAAAAAGAAAAACTTTCGTAACGTTTGTTTTTTGACGACTTCATAAAGGGTTATCTTTTATGTAAGGTATTTAAACTACTAATTTGGGCTATGGATTATGAAGGGTGTTATGTTGTATGCAAGTTTGTAGTTAATAATTTCTACTATGAATCTGATGATTGGGTTATTTGTTAAACAAGTTATATAAATTTTTTATTTCAAACCAAAAATCTGATGATGCCTACAAAAAACCGTTATCTCGTGTCTATTATTTAATAGATTATTATTATTTAGAAGTTTAATAATGTGCAATTTTTCATGGAGGCACAAAGGGCATGGGTCATCCCAAGCTTTACATATTCTAGCCTTGTCAATAATTTTCCATTTAACTTTTGGTGTCTTATTTGTTTCCTTCAAGTGCCAAAAAATATTTTGATAGTGAAGTCTGGTTTCTTTTGTTTATATTATTAAAGGAGCACTTATGCTGCCTCCATCTATCTTTAAAATTATTCTTCGTGGACCCAATGTATATCATATTAGTGCTAGGGCTCTCTGTGGATGAAATAGTGCATTGGTATACCACAGAATTAATACAACATTTATTTTCTAATGGGCAGTCTTCTGGGTTTCTACAGTTACATAATTTTTCCCTATTATCATCTGATTTAAGTGTAGAGTTTTTATTAATACTGTTTTGGCATGGGGTTTGTTCAAGATCTTATTATTGTGTTTTTTTATTATTATGCGTTCAAGATTATCAGAGCAGCTGTAGCTCAATTTTAGGGTGTTCTTATTGAATATATTACTAAGCTTACTATTGGTGGGGAAGTGTTTATTAATTAGAGCTAAGAATTTCTGTCCTAGTTTAATACTAACCCTTTGGTTGAACGGAGGGGTGTACCATATGATATTTCTTTTCCTGTTTTTTTTCCCATGTCCAGTGCAATTTTCTCTGTAGTTAATGTTAGCATTTTTATAACCACTATTTTTTAGGGCAGTGTTATAGAAGCTGTTATGTTTTTGGAATATTTCCCTGTTTGCGGAGTTAAGGCTAATTCTATTTTCTATTGATGAGGGTATATGTTTAATTATTTTGACTTCGGGTGTATGTATAAAGGGTTAGCATTTGGTTTTCTATAAGGTTGGTATGTATTGTCTGGTAAGTCTAGAGTTACGTCGAGGAAGTTAACCCTTTTCAAGTTAGAAGAGACAGTTATCTTTAAGTTTAGTTTCTTAAATTCACTAAATATAATTTTTCTGATTTTTTCAATCTTAAAACTAGTAGAACTCCTCACCACCATGAGCCCGTCATCTCTATACAGCCCGATGTCCTTAATATCAATTTTGCGGTGTGCCGTTAAATTGTACAGTATTAGGAGACCAACAAGGTCAGAAGACTCTGCAGAGTCTAACGATCCCATAGTGATGTCAAACAGGTCGTTATTGTTTTTTATCCATTGGTGCCCATTGTGAACGAGGACCGATTTCTTTGCGCTGAGGATTATATCCATTTCATCCTTTGTTAGGTTCGAATACACAGCAGCGAAGTCCAGGGCAGTCATAAATAAATCCTTCGAAATTGATGGGTAGTAGTCCACGATATCGAGCTGTATAAGGGTGCAATTCCGTTTATCATCAATATAGTTAAACCAATTGATAACATCTTTGGTATTGATCCATAATTTTAATTCCAGTTGTTTTTTTATTTGGCAGGTAATTTTTTCCAGGATCTTTTTGCTGATCTTTCCTATGTCGGGTCGGGTAGGGTTAATTATTCTGGTCGCAGGGTGTTCTAAGAAGTCAGGCTTATGATCCTTAAGAGTTATATAACATTCTTTTTCAGTAAGTTTACCTACTCTATTGCTGATTTTTAATTTGTCTGTTATTATTTTACTAGTTTTGTTTATGTTTTCAACCATATTAATGTTGTTGTTGCAAGCCTTTTTATAAGTCCTGGTTAAGTTTTTTTTAATTAAGTTGTTGTAGTCATCGACATCTAATTTGTAGAAGTTGCCGGTTTTGTCTGATTTAACTAATATTTTGTCACATTCATTAATGCTTTTAACTATTTGGTTTAGATGTTTTTTTTTAGTGGTTTTTATTTTTTTTGAAAGGAGATGTTGTTGATAATGTTGAGTAGGTCTTTTTCAAATTCAAATAGCTGTTTGTTGAAAGGGGCAACTTTTTTACTTTTAAAGCCGTAAACTTCACGTTCTTTATCAGTAGGGTTATTTCCATGAAAATAAAGTATGCTTTCCATCTCATACTTCTATTTTCGTGGAAATAACCCTAAATAAATAGAAGTACTGGTTTCTTTTGTTTATATTTTAAAAAAATAATATATATATATATATATATATATATATATATATATATATATATATATATATATATATATTCATTCAGAATAATTTCTAGTTGTAAAATCCGGAACATACACATGTGGAAAAAGCACTGGATGGCTGTTTTGTTTTTTTGGGATTCATCAGCAGTGTGCACCCTCTATCAACTGTGTTACGATACAACGCAAGCATCAAACCATTGGGCCAGTGGATCATGGCGGTGAAGAAGAAACTAATTTACTAAACACAATATAGCAGCTCATCCTGGTTCCAGTGGTGATAGCCATCTAAGTATTCAGAGTTGGTAGAGGATGTGCACTGCTGATGAGTCCCCAAAAAGAAAAAAAAACGGCTATCCAGTGCTTTTCGGCATGTGTACGCTTTGAGCATTCTAGGCATAGACATGATGAATTATTATAAAAATTATACAAATCCCCAAATTACTAATCATATATATATATATATATATATATATATATATATATGTACACAGGCTGTGAGGGATACATTGTTGTCTAAATTATGAAAAAATGAAAATAACACTGGCATCTCATTTTAACAGATATATTTACAAAAATTACAGAAAATTATCTTAAAATACTAAAGAGTAAATTTATTCAATAAAATGGCCATTGGCTTCAACCATGACCTCCACATGAGTTTGGAATCTCCTGCAACTCTCCTTGTTTAAGTTGGTGAATGCTGCCATAATCATTGCCTTCAGTTCATATTTGGTATTACAAGGAATTTCTTTGTCTCTCTCTCAACTGTGCCCCACACATAATAATCAAGGGGCTGCAGCCTAGGGAGTTATGTGGCCAGATATAACAAGTGATGTTGTCACAGAAATTGTCTGACAGCCTTCTCCTACTTGTGCAGAGTCCAGACATAGGGTCTTCCAGCAACCACCCTCTTGACTCAAGGCAGAACTACCTCCTCAAGGCACTTTATATACGTCTTTATATTGAGTTTGAGGCCCTGTGGGAAGATGACTGGAGGCATAATGTCGTCATCATTAGTGATCACTCCAAACACCTTCATAATCACCATTAGACTCATACAACTCTTTCTAAATCCTCTGCACCATCCTCAGAGTGACACCCAAACACTGAGTGAATTGCGTGACGGTGCTCTTTTTCTCACAGATGCTGCCCAAGTGACCCCCATTATAAAATATAAAATAGTGAAAATTTATGTGTGTATATATATACAGTAGCGGCCATAATATAAGGAACGGAAACAACAAAGACATAAATATGTGTATTACTTAAAAAGTAATGCACGATTAGCAATGAAATTTTTACCAAATAAAGATTAGGGTGTAATGCATAAATATTATACAAAGTTACAAAAATTTACATTATAGTTTTTTTTAAAAATAAAGATTAAATGGAACAAAGGAAATAAGCTACTGGACAAAAGTTAAGGAACGATGTTAATAATTTGCATAAACTTTTAATTTACATTGTTAATTAAATGATATATAACATTGAATAGATTTGGCTTCCAGTGCCTGATATTAGCAAATGGACTACATGTTTCAGAAAACAGATAAATATTTCAATAAAAAAGCAAGGACCAATGTTTCCAGCAAATCAAATACATATCCATATATAATAACATAAATGGTTTTTGTTTGTCCTTTTCTTTTAAGTTCCATTCATTAGCATGTTACATTAACATGAAGAGGTGAAAAAACATTCAAAAGAGATAAGTTGTGATGCAAATGTTGTTGAAGTTCAGGTAGATGTGACTCGTCTGTTTCATGATGCAAATAAGACATAACTGAGAAATAAATATCATAGCCAATGGCAAATCCAAAATATATAGGAAGAAGAAAGATGAAAGGCATCACCATGTTGGATAAGGGAAGAGGAATCTTCACTTTGCTGCAAAAAACAATTTGTAAAAAGCATAAGTGAGAATTGGAAAAGATGACAAACATTTTATTGTTTAGATTAGCATTGACTTTAGTGGGACTTTATTGGATAGAGAAAGTCAATTATTTGATGAGAACCAAATCCCAAAGGAGGGTGGAAAATAATTTTGGCAAAATAAATACAATCAAAGTTTCATTTAAAAAATAAAAACATAAAAATTTACATAATTATCATACAGAAAAATATTTTGTACAAATTAATTTTATCAATGACATTTACTGGAGAAATGACTTTGAAACAGTTCAGGTTTTAATATACACATTGAGGCATAATTTAATGTTTGTGTTTAAACATCTTTCTATTAGTGACTAAATTTTGCTCTTTGATATAATTTTTGACTTTTAGAGTACTTAAATAAGCAAAGTTTAATAATTTAATTACTCCAGTAGAAAATTCATATTTCACTAGGCGCCTTTATTATGTAGCACTGTGCAAGCCTTACATAAGCATACATTTTCTAAAGTACATCTTTGTATGAAAGTGTGTTTTTTATTGACATATGTTATTTCACCATTAATGTGAGAATGTTTGAAAATAGAATGTTCATAGCAATTTGGTTTAGAATCAGTCAATGATTTAAGAATTGACAATTTACATTTGTCTTCAGCAGCGGTATTATTTTATAAAAATATTTGGTAGGGAAATTAAGTTTTCTATGATTTGTGCAGAAGCTTTTTTTCTTTTCCAAACAGGATGTGTTTAATTTTTTCATGACAGTACAGGTAAAAATCATTCATTTTTGAAAGTGCTATAATTTAGATGTTTCACCTGAGAAATGTTTAATAATTAATTTTATTTGCATACAAATAAAACTACTATTTAAATTAAAATGATTAAAAGAAGTCATTCTTCATTTATTTATTATTTTTATTTTTCTATTTTATATCTGATACTGGAATTGTTTTTCAGAATTAAAGTTTTACTTACTAAATTATTAATTATATTAAAATTATCTTAAAAATTCTGTGTCAAATATTAAATTTTGGCAAATTAATGTCTCATGTGTCCACATAAGTACTTACCTTACATAGTAAAAATGATACTATCAAGTCAGACATTTTACATTTCATATTTGTTTTGCCATGTTAGTTTTTAATATGAACAGTAATTTATAATTCAAGAGAAATTAGAGAAAAATACTGTTGAATATTGAATTGTTTATATACTTGTTTTCTTTTTTTCTTATGGCCAAAAACATCATAATAACTATATTTATTGCTGGAATTGTTCTTAAGAATCAGTTTTCCTTTCTAAGATATTAGAATAATCCATCCAAATAATATATTGTGTGAAATATTAACCATTAGTAGATTAATGTCTTATACACCCACTTATGATAGATAATAAAAATGCAACTGGTATCAAGTCAACCATTTTATATTTTATTTTGAATATTTTATGCTTGTCACATTAGTTTTTATAATTATTTGTAAGATTTGCAATGTAAAAATTATAAAAATATAATTATTAATTTTCTTGGATCTTAAATAACACTGGTAAATGACATGCGTTAACAAAGTGATTTTGCTAAACAGAGAAAATTCTTCTAATTGACAGAGCTGCCATGAAGTAAAGACTAGAAATTAGGAATAAAAGAAACGAGTAACCTCCCCTTTTTCAATATTTAAGAGAGAACAGATGGAAAAACTGTCAGATATTGAATTGTTTTTATACTTACTTATTTTCTTTGTTTCTTGTAGCCATGAACATCATAAAAACTAAAACTTTCTCAATGTTTGCGACAACTGATGTGTATTTCTCAATTACATCAAGAAATCCCTACAAAGTAATAACCAGTACATTTTAAATATGACAAAGAGATACAAAATTTGACTTATAGTGAATATAGAACAAAAATGAATATTTATTCTACCTCAAATCATAAGTAACAAGTGTTCCTCCTTGTTCAGACAGAAATTAGATAAAACTTCTATATCAAAACTTTAGCTTACCTTTGGGTTCAACACAGAATTTATAAATATTATTCCAAATAGTATTAATGAGAGAAAACTTGAAATACATCTGAAAATGAATGGAAAATATGCAATAAATGATTATTTTACTACAATTATTGAACAGCAAATGGTTACTTTCCAAAAAATGGTAATACTTGAATTTCGGTCTTTGGGACAATAAAGATGATACAATAAAAGCAAAGCAACTTACTTTTTGCCAATATTCACAATTTTAGGGGATTGTTCTGTATATTTTGATAAAAAACAGGCTGACAAATTGGATTCAACAATGCCAGAAACTGAACAAAAATAAATAAAAAGAAGGAGAATAATGAGGAAAGAATGAAATTAAATTCTAAAAGAAAAACGTCATAATAAAAATTAATGAAATAATATAAAAATTAAAGTGAAAAATCAACAGAAAAATGCAGTCATTTTATTGTGTATGAAAGTCAAATAATATTTACTACTGTTTGACAATGGGGATCAGTAACAATGGATATTTATTGCATAAAAATACAATTATGGCACAAGGCCGAAAAAAGGGGCGGGTTTAGGCTGCTATTCACTAACTATTTTATACCTAGCTAATCCGATTCACAACCCATTCACTCATTACAATTTGCCCATTCACCATAAAAACTCATCCATTACCAATCAATCCCCCATACACCATAATACCGCATCCTCTCAAGGGGAACCTACGAAACGCACCACATGCCATAAAAATTTAATGATAATAAACTATATATACAATTCTAAAGATGAAAAATGAGAGGGAAGGGAGATGAACCCAATAACAAACTAAACATGAACACAAAGTGAACTAAACATAACTGATGCTAGTAGGGACCATCCAACCCTCAAGAAGGAGAGAGGCCACTGTATTCTGCCCATTGGACAAAATCAAGAAGCTCTCTCACTAAGGGAATGGGAAAAGGAGAAAATATATACAGACATGGGAAAGAAAAAGGTGACCCAGTTGAGATAAAAAGGGGCCAAAACAAACTGGGGAGGTTGGGAATCTCAACTTGAATCATAACCAAAGATGTAGCTGGGAACAGGCCTGGAACAACACTTACTCACCTTATCTAGGTACACAAAGGCTTGTCTAACCTGAACAAGGGGAAGGGATCCACAATGGTCAACCCTATCAAATGCCTTGGACTGATCTAAATTGATCAGCGCGGCCTTATCATCATCTTTTACACCCACTATGATCGTGCGGATCAGATGCAGGTTGCTCTGAATTGTTCAGCCCCTCACAGAACAAGTCTGCTTCGGACACAACAGAGACTGGGCAACTGACTGCAAATGCTCCTGCAGGATCTTGGCCAAAATCTTTAACTCTGTGTTTAGCAGAATTATGGGTCTGTAATCATCTAATTTTCCCCAAACACCCTTGCCCTTTTTCAATAACAATGAATTAAGAGGAAAGTATAGATGTGAACATTTTAAGAAGTTTTATTGGTTACTTACTCATATGATGCATGCCAATACCAATAGTCAGAAAAGAGACAGTAATGCTTATTAGTATAAACACTTCAACAACTTTGGACACCCAAAAGAAAGACAGATGTTTATGGCGCATGATCTGACAGGGAGAAATAAAAAAAAAAACAAGTTTAGTTTTTATAAAGAAGGATAAAAAACAATTTAATTCGTAATAAAGGAGGATTCAAATTTGGAAATAATGAATTCCTTTTTACTACTCCAGAATTTTATTCTGGTCATTTTCACAAATATTTTTGAGAAGGTAAAATTATAATAAATAGATATCTCCATTGCAGTACTCTGATAATCTAACCTCAGGTAAAAAAAAACAAAAAAACTTGGAGGTCAGAGCACAAGAAATATCTGCTCAGTGATTGAGAGACCAAATGTTAAATATTTGCAAAGCCAAGGTTTTCCCTATAACTTAATTTTCTAATTCTGCTATGTGCATCTGTATAAAGCACTTGCATATGTGAGAGAATTTCAGAGTATTTATGCATCAGTAAATAGAATAAATAAACAATAATTTAGAGGCAAATAATATTTATACGTTTTCTCATAAGAATTTTATAGAAATTCACTTCTGAAATGAGAATTGTAATTTTTAAAAGTTTTGGAATGTGTTTTTTTCAAAGTTTCATCTTTAAAATTCTGGCAAGATTGAGAAAATATTCAAACTAAAAAAGCTTTTTCATTACTTAAAATGACAAAATGGAACTTTATGTGTGTCTGTCAAAGAAATTCATATATTAGCTTTGTAAGAAGCTAAATGTAGGAAAGAAATATTTTGAGATTTGGAAATGAGTCCATATTTTGGCTGTTATATTCATGTTTCAGCAGAAGACTAGACATGGCACATTAACAACAAAGATGAAGAGAATAGATTAAATCAGTGTATAATAGTAGAAAAGAGAGAAAGTGGAACCGGTATAAGGATTCTAATGTAAATTCGTTGTCGTCGTCGTCATTGTCGTCATCATCATCATCATCACCCCCCCACCCCTTGACTTTTGTAATCATAGGGAGGATCTGAATGCAGAAGCCACATTGAATCTAATGTAGATTACTTGATAGTAGAATCATTTTCTGGTGTTGTTTAAAACAACATCAGAAAATTATTCTACTTTAAAAACAACATTAGAAATCATTGTAATTCAGTCTTATAATTAATGTTATCATGATGGATCAGAAAATACTAATCAATTGGTTCTTATTAAAATTTTTAATATAAAAATACACCTGAAAAGTAACAAAAACTGAGAAAATAAATTAAAATACAAAAACTTCATAAGAAATGGCCAGCAATGATATGGGAAAACTTTCAAATCTTTTTTGATTATATATAATAATTTTCAATTTTTTTAAACAAATAAACTCATAATTTTTAGTTAAGTCTAATATTTGATTTCAATTGTGGAAAAGAGCTTAAAAAACTTGCAGCAAAACGTGAAGCAACATTTTCACTCAATAATATCCAAGATATAAAAAAAATGAAAGAAAAAAACTCACTCTTATCAGTGGTTTTGTTGAGATTTCTCCATTTTCTTTTGCACTAAAAAAAATTGAAAATGTTTTGTTTTTTTTTAGGTATTTTTATATTTTGAGAATTTATTTTTGTAACTCAATGTTTCTTCTTATTGTCATCTTTGTTATTTGTATTTTCAGTCAATTATTATTTTAAATAGAAAAAAATCTCAAAAAATTTGAGAAAATTACCTTTCTAATGAGTTGCATGTAACTGGAGAATGAGAAGACTGGTTAGTTTCAATCATTGGTGTACAGTGTTGGGGTACAATTTCAATCACAGTCCAACACCTGAAAAATGCAAACCATCTTAAGAAGAAAAAGGACTACTGGTTGCTTAATTTCCTTGTTGACACTACAAAACACTTAGATTTAATGTTTTTCTCTTTTTATACAGGACTATTTACAGGTTAAAATATTGCAAGTAGTGTGTTCCCAATATAGATGTGGCCACTTTGGGAATGATAAAGTTCCACAAAATATTTTCTTCAAAGTCCTAGATTTATGAAAGATTTATTTACTGCCTTGTGGAGTCAATTTTTGTGGATCTCTTTTCCAGGCTTTTAAGGAAACTAGAACTTTTAAAATTTGGGAAACACTATCAATTAAAGCATTTAGACCTGTGTACCTATCAAATATGTGTATCAGGAAACATCACCCATTGCTAAAATGTGCTCTAGTCTACCTGTTATAAGTACATGACTGATTACAAGTTCTAGTATTTTTGCCATAATTGGTATGATACCAACAGAATGGGGAGAGATTATTAGAACTGATTTGACATTAACTATGGCTGAGAAAAATAATGACACATTAATGACTCCACTTGTTTGTGTGAGAGCTTTGACTTGTTGACTGACATTAACCTCAATGATTGTCATAAGTGTATGTTTTTCTATTACATCTGTATTTGCAATAGAAGTAATACTTGGAGTATGAACCAATATTTTGTCTGCAATTTTGGCAAACTAGATATATCAAAACTGGTTAGAGATCCATAAGCAATTTCTGTAAAAATAAATACCTTAAAATGTTTTTTTTTTTGATAATGAGCAAGACAATGTAACAACTTGGAAGATTTCTTAGCTCTTATTAACTCCATGGTTAGTAGTTTCTATAGCTTTCTTGGCTCTGAAAATCATCGTCATTAAAATGATATCTTCCTTCAGTCTATCATAATGAGCAGGAGAGAAAGGATTTAATATCAAATCCCTGGCTTCTTCAGTAATTGTTCCAGGTAAGGATGATATCATGAAAGCACTCTTTTTTTATTCTGTGAAGTAATATTTCTCATGATTAAATTTGTTTCAATTTAAGGGAACTATAAAACCAAGTTACTGCTTAAATATATAACACAGATGTATTTTGGTCAGAGTCAGCCATTATTTGTTCTGATAATATTTCCATGTTGCATTACAAAAAGAAATAGTAATATTATCTACCATAAGATTCACAGATAAAGTAAAAACAAACCTGTATTAAAAATAAATACCTGTAGCACCTATTTACTATGGCAAATATTATTCTCATGTGGTAAGTGAAAAAAAAAGGAAGTGCAAAGAAAAAGAAAAGCATTATACTCCATGAAGAAACTGATCATATTGAGCTTACAAGTTATAAATATTAGTTGATTTCTACTTTACTCATGTTCACTGCTATGTTTGCTGTGAGGAGGTCTGAGAGTAAGAATATTTGAGATGGGATGTAACACAAGGTTGGGCTTAATATGGGGAATGCGGGCATGTACATTCGGGCCAAGAACAAAAATTCCCCAAGCCCCCACAACTGTCAGTTGCGCTGGTCTTGGTACAAGCACCCATCCCTCTCTCTAGTGCAATGAGAGAGTGCAACCTTGGGTATCTGTTCCCCAGGACTGAGCTCCTCACAGTGTGTGTTTCCTCAGTTGTGCCTCTGTCCTCTGATAGAGCCACAACTGAGTCACGCTCTGCCTGAAGACACAACCGAGAGATGATAAAAACGTACTCCGCATTTTGTATTCAGTGCTGTTTTTATACATGCTGTGTCAGGTGACTACATAGCTAAGGGAAAATAACCTCCTACATTTGCCACTCATGTTTTATGCCTTTATCCACATGTGCATGTGAATACTACAGTATTTTACTCTTAAAATTCCTTCAAGGTAAACACATCACATGAATTTTTGGCTATATTACAGAAAGCAAACAATATTACAAAGCTATATTTTTTATAGATAAAAATAAACATCAATTTATACATGCATATTTTACACAATTACTTACCATAAAATATTCAGAATTGCACAAGTGATAAGACCCATTAAAACTGCAAGTCGATATTTTTGAATCTGAAAATGGATGCCAATACAGAGAAGCTGTAAAAAAACTAAATTTAATTTACATAGAAATACGAAAAAAAAAAAAAAATACAGATGATGTCAGTAACAGGAATATTAGTTTTAACTGACTTGCTTGACTTATGGAAACAAATGAAAGAATAAAATTGGAGGAATGAATAGATGTATTTACCAGAAATCTGGTAAATGGTATCAATGAAGTGAACTTAAATTTGTTGGGTTACCTCCTCCTAATTTTCAAAACTGCTCCTAGTCAGTGACATTCTTTGTCATCCTCTTTTTTCTTTTTTCACTCAGGGACTACAAGATGTAGGTCAAATGAGGAAAACACTTTCCCCACTAGGAAACACATATGCACCTTTCACTTCACTTTCTCTGGGACTTTCTTCTACACCAAACTACACATACACAAACAATTCACTAGTTTAAATGTTTTCTTCTTTCATGTTCATTGTTCAGTAATATGCAAGAATACTTTATTGTTTACATATACCCTTGTTTTATTAAGACATACATTATCATTTGTTTGTACATATATATTGGTTCTTGTTGTTTCTTTACATTTCTTTATGTGGACTCACATCCTGAGTCCACCATGTTTTTTGCGGTCATTTCACGAGATGCACATGTTTATCTCTCAATCCATACACCAGCCCGCAAAAAATTTGAGTCAAAGCAAATGAAGTTTTTTAAATACAGATACCATTTGGAACAGGCATGAAATGAAATAGTCAAACTCCCAGCTAATTTAAAAATTTATCTTCTATCTGTTGTTAACTGGGGGTAAGAAATGGCTTGTTGATTCTAATGCCTCCAAATGATAAAAAGATAAAAATAGATTAATTGGTTGATTGCATGAACAATGTATGAAACCTTTTCATATAAAAATATTTTGCCTCTAATTTGGCAACTGAGATCATCTTAAGTAAAAACTTTGGTCTACCATTTAAACATTTTATCATTGTATTCAATATTGTTTTTGCTAATCCTTCAGAATTTTCAGCAAAACAAAATAAATTTCCTCCGTGATATGGTAGAGGAATATCAAGCCTGACTAGGAGCCTTGAGCAGTGCTTTATAACACCAATATTTGCTTTTTTCTACTCACATTTACATACATTACAAAAACTAAGTACAACTGACTATTAAGGATGAAAATTTTGACATCATTTTGAGGTCTTCATTCGTTTTATTTTTATTTTCAATGGTTAACGGCGACATCCATTTGCTTTGCTCTTTGATCTGAAACTTTATCTCAAAAAGATACAACTAGGAACCTTATCAAGTTTCACCTACCCACTCGATGAAAATAGCACTTACAATGGCGGAATTTTAGAATAGAGGCAACATTTTTTTTATCTTTTTTTATTAATCTTTTTTGGTTCTGATGTTACAAAAAACAAGTTGCTATCGAAAGTTGAAAAAAGGGATAAAAGCTCAACAGTAGCAAAATACATTAAGTGAAAAAATTATAAGAATATATTTTTATTTTTATATTTTTATATTGCTTTGGAATGTTTCTTGAAGGGTGTATGTTTAATGCAAAATATACAATGAATAAAACAAGAGTTGTTCACCCTAAACTGTTCGAATATTCGAAAACTTTTTGAAAGAAAATATTTTACTGGTCTCACAATGAAAAAGAGTTTGTCTGTGAAATAAATTTAGTTTTAACAAGAAATGTTCTTTGTCAAATAGTTGCAAGGTTGAAAGTTTTGTTTGACACGAATGCTATGAAATTTTACTTGATGAAAAAGGAACTTTAAATCATCACTTAATTTCAAGAAGTTTTTTTTTGTTTTAAAATGAAGTTTAGTTTTGTTTGTGCAATTCTGAAATAAATGTTAATACAACTTGTCTCTTAACAAAAATGTTCCCCAAAATGATAAATTCTGTTGAATAAAAATGAGTGAAAAAGTTTCTTTGAAGTAAATTCTGAAAAAAGCTGAAAATATGTTTGATACAAACTTCAATGTAGCTTCAGAAGTTTTTTTTTAAAGTATTTTCTTTGCTGGTGAAAATTTGCAGAAGTTGGAAAATTCAAGTCAAATTTTACTAGCGTGGCGGCGACGTGTCTTGTTGACTTTTGTTATAAAATAAAATAAGACATATCTCGGCTGATTTACAGGCAAATACTCAAGAGCGAGAACCGGATGTGAATGGGACAAAGCCCCGTCACAAAATGACCATTAACTTTCTTTACAAATGTTCCCGACACACGTGTTCCGGTCGAAAAATAAAATAAAATTTAAAGTGCTCTATTTTTCGTCCAATAAAAATGCTTCCCTCCTAATTATACTCGCTTCGTTTCTCGAGCCTGTTAAGCTATAAAAAAACGCTTAAAAGGGGTCACACGGAAGTTCAACAGGCAGTCAACAGGTGGCCAGCGAACAGACCTGACGGTCAGGCCGAGCGATCAGCAGCAGGGGAGCGTCAACCACCGTCAACATGTGTGAACTACTATGAGAGGTTGACCTAGATCAGAAACCGGCTTATGAACTTTACCACAAGGTAGTTGTCCCAAGCCCTCATGTTCCTGTTGAAATAAACCACGTAAATCTATTTCTACTGTTGTCGTATTTCTTTCTTGCAACCACACGCTTGTCTATAACACTTTCAAAAAGGTCTCAAAATTTATTGCGTAAAATACACAATTGTGGCACAAGGCCGAAAAAGAGGGGATGCGGTTGAGGCTGGTCGTCACTTTGTGATGATGATCATCATCACACACATACATACATACCTATGGAAATTCAAATTATACAACCACCATTATTGGATAATAAATCAACACTACTACGAGGATTTTATAATCGCTATATTTTCATGTAGTCGATTTTGTGCACTTTTGGGAGAATCAGATCCCAAAAGTTTTTCGTGAGTCTTCCCAAAGCTCGCTCGCTGATTGGTCAATGCCAACCAATCAGATTGTCTGCACGTGAAGAGTGATTCTTCTCGCGCAGCGCTTTCGGAGCTGATGATCACCTATATAAGCAAAGAAAATTCTTAGTAAATTAGTGAGATTTCAGCTGCCACAGGAATCCCCGACAGCTGAAACCATGTGCTAACCTTCTCACTCATACCACCACTCACATGCTGAATATTCCCTATACTCACATAATATTTTTTCTTACACAGCAAAACTGTTGAAAACATTTATTACCAGAAACTATTACAACATTATTTCTTTCAGTGAACTTTGGAACAATTGATAATTAAAGAGAGACAGCTCTTGTTTTACTCAATGCACGCTTTTCTTTCACATCTTTGTTTGTACATCTTGTTCTTTTTCTTCACGTCAGTTTGGTTTCCTAATCTAAGTTAAATTAATGTGATGAAGTCCGCCACAACTTACTATCCTATACCTAACTAATCCGATTCACGACCCATTCACTCATTACAATTCGCCCATAAAAACTCATCCGTCACCAATCAATCCTCCATATACCATAATACCGCATCCTATAAAAATTGGATGATAATAAAAATTTATACATAAAATTTTATGGATTATTTACAATGAGAGGGGGGGGGGAGGGGATGAACCCCAAAACAAAGTAAATTAAATATAATGGTCTTGTGGAAACTTCCACGTCAGCCAGTCACACCCCTGCGTGGATAAATAAACTATTCCCTGTAAGTGAATATATGACAAGCATTTATTGGTTAATCACCTTCAATCTCGCTCGCTGATTGATCAGTTCCGACTGATCAAATCGCCTGCACGCGACAAATCTGTTTTTCCGCGTTTTCCATCTGAGCCAGTCACGTGATTCACGATTATATATAAACAAAAACACGAGTGATTCTCTCTCTCTCTCGCGTCTCATTCCTTGCTGCCAAGATGTAATCTTCAAGAACTCCCGTCTTAACTAATGCAGTCAGACGTTAAAGACCATTACCAACATTCACGCAAGTACGAATGTTGAAATCCCTTCTGAACTTTTACCAACTTGTACAATACACAATTCCAAACATGCTAAAGAAACTTTATTCTTCTAAACTACAGTTTAATAATTACTTTCACTTTATGAGCTTAGGTACAAATATTACCTAGTCTAAGAGATACAACTCAATCTAACTTTTCAGTTCACATGCATGTACATCAAATACTTAATAAATTCAATTGTTACGTTTTAAAACAATATATATTAATATTCTCTGTCTTGTATTAATTGTTGTGGATGGAAGATTATTGAACACACACAATTTTAAGCCTTCTGATAATTCAAACCTTCTATTCCTCTCCAACACACATCACACATCTGCAACAGTCTCGATATTTATTGTAAAAATTTACAATTATGGCACAAGGCCAAAAAAGGGGAGGGGTTGAGGCTGGTCTTAACTAACTATCCTATACCTAGCTAATCCGATTCACGACCCATTCATACATTACAATTTCCACATACACCACAAGAACTCGTCCGTCACCAATCAATCCTCCATACACCATAATACCACATTCTCTCTAGGGAGACATACAAAACGCGCCCCGTTGTCATAAAAATTTAATGATACTAAAAGATATAGATATATATATATATAAGTCTATGATGAAAAAATGAGAGGGGAGGGAGATGAACCCAATAACAAACTAAAAAGTTAACACAAATCAAATTAAACATAACTGATGTTAGTAGGACATGTCCAACCCTCAAAACAGTCTCACTGATTGGATATGTTCGCGCTGCCTATTTATTTAGTTTTTGGTCACATGACAGGTTCCACATTGCTGTTCAAAATATTGGCCGTAAGAGCTGATTGCGTGGGCATTATTCGTATTTATTATTATTTAACCAATCATCAATCAGAAAAATAGCAAGGTCTGTGTGATCCACTTTTTTAAACAAAAGTTTTAATTTTCAAGAAGATATATAGCAAATGCATTGCAGTATTTTTCAACCAATAAGATTTGTCGAGAAAAAAAATGAAAAATTGAAGTAGAACGCTAAAAGCATAGA